TTCTTATCCAGTTCCCAGACCTAGAGCCCCTCAGCTCAGGGGAGACCAGGTCCCTGGGACAAAAAGACCGAATTTGACCACATCTATGTACCATGGGAATCTCCCCAAGCTTTCTCCAGAGGGACCTGGAACAGTTTACTAGAGTGACTATGTAGGGTGGGTGGGGAAAGGAAATACCCAGACTTTCTGGAGGTTATTAGACCATGGTTTGAACTTGAAAAGCCTTCATTGTTTACCAATGAAAGCTTCCAGAAGTCAGATGAGAGGTGCAATCTTGGTTCACATGCATGTAACAATGGGCCCAATGCATCTATTTATCTTGTGGGTATTTCCTCAGTTCCAGACATACAGTGAGACTAGATATATCTAAAAACTGGCAGAATCCCACCTTGATTCCTGCACCAGCGAAATGAAAGCTATCATGGTAGGAGGCACCAAGTGGAGGAAGCTCCTGAAACTTTATACTCTTTTCCACCCCCAACAAGATGGTAACTCCTTTAAGGAGAATTGCAGAGATCAGTAGCACCTTTGAAGATTTGAGAAATACCAGGACGTTGTACTACCACGTCCCCATTTAACTCAACTGTTCAACTGTTACAAAAGCTAGGTGGGTCATGGAGAATTGCAGTGGATTACTGCAAACTCAGTGAGGTGGTGATGCCAGTTGTAGCTGTTCTAAATGTGGTACATTTATTGGAGCAAATCAGCATAGCCCCTGGCACCAAGTATGTGATTATGGACTGGCACATGCTTTTTTTCTGTTCCAATCAGTAAGAAAAATCAGCACAAACACAAACTTAAGCTATCTTGCCCCAGAATTGTGTAACCTCTTCTGCGATTTTTCATATTGTCCTAAGGATCCTTGATCATCTTTATATTCTACAAGACACCACAATGGCCCATTACACTGAAGACAGATGCAGTAGGTTTTGAAACAGCAAGCCAGAGGGTGAAAGATAAATGTTGCAAAAATTCCTTGGGCTGCTAACATTTCTATAAGTCTAGCACTCCGGACACATCAGGATAGCTAAAGGGAAAGGCAGTATGCTTTTTGGACTTCTTTGTGTTTTGAAGGCAACATATACTACATACTGTATAATTTGAAAGGCTGGCAGTTTTGAGTAGAACTTAGGGAAAAAAAGGGGTTTGCACAGTAGCATATGCTTCCCTGTCACTTGGGCATTAGGACACAGGGACCAAAATATATTGGAAATATCTATAGCTGCATGGAACCTCTGGCAAGCCCTGATAGAATAACATTACAGAACCTTAAGGTTTTCTTTGTGAGAGGCAGTTTTTGCCTTGCTATTGAACCCTGATGCAGACCATGTACCTGATTATGGGATGTCTACTGATTATACTCTTTGAGTTGTCCATGTTGAACTAGGTCATAGATGATTCACTGAGCCATAAAATTGAATATAAACAGCAGCATTGCATTTTAAGTTAAAATGATCCCTATGAAACCAGTCTAGAAGGCTCTAGTAAATTGCACAAACAAGTGGTTCAGAAACTGAACTCCTCTTTATAAAGCTCCTCTTTATAACTTTGATACCTTCCCCTCATTCTACACTTTTGGCTTCATGGGGAATTCCATATGACTAGAATAATCAGATGTCCAGCTTTTCCTTAGGTATCACTGGTTTATACCTGTTCAACATTCACTCCTCATTCACGATACCACTTTTCTTTGGCAAAAGTGTCCCACTTCGGAGAATCAATTATATGGCTACCCTACCTTTGATCATTTAATGGAGAGGAAAGACTGTGTGCCTGGTTCATGGGTTTCTGTATGGTATTCTGGCATTAGCTGGAAGTGGACAGTTAATGTACCATACTCCACTCGATGGCAGAACCTTAAATGACATGTCTGGTTGTCTATTTTGTGTGGAAGGAGAGATGGCTTGAGATGCATATTTACACTAACTCAGTCAGTACCAGATTGCTTAGCTATTCAGGGACTTTGAAAGAATAAAATTGATAGATTAGTAATAAGGAGGTTCAAAAGGCAGGCTATTTGCATAGACCTCTCTGAATGGGATATGATATGAAGATATTTGTTTCTCATGTAAATGCCTGGTACACGGATGCCCCAGTGGAGAAAATTCTCAATAATTAAGATCTCCCCACTTTTTGGGTGATATTTAGACTCTTTCTCTGGCCACTTTGGTGTTTACTCTGTGGGTCAGTATTTAAAGTGTATTGGTAGCAGGGACAGAGGTTATTCAAGGACTCAGCAACATGGTATCTCTCCTTGTCAAAGTTGATCTAACTAGTAATGCTATTAAATGCCAGGCCTGCCAGTAGCTGAGGCCAATTTTGGGCCCTTGATATGACAACATTCATCATGAAACCAGCATACGTGGTCTCACAAGTGCATGTTCCAAATTACCAAGAAGGATCAGAAGGGCAGTGTGTGGCATGTGAACAGGAAAGCACAAATTTATTGATGAAGGGCACAATTCCATTCTTCCATTGTTACTGCTGCTGTTTTGCTGGGTTGTCTTTATGAAAAGGATCATTAGGAAAAAAGGAAAACTACTATAATTCAGCAATTTTATTTGTGTACTTTATCTCATTTTGTTCTCACAATGACCTTGTGAGGTGGGTTGGGTTGTAGCTCCACCATAAAATTGAAGACACAGGAGCAGAGAAGTTAATTTTCACTTCCAAAGACACATAGAGGGTTAGATGTGATGTTAAGGTTTCAACCCAGATATGTCTGTAGACTGCTTTCTAGGGGAGTGCATGGATTGCTAAGGTGGGTCTCAGTGGGCTCTCAGTGTAAGTCATTCTCTTACCCTTGCACCTTTGCCAGTCACTGTGAGATGCAAACTGCATTTTAAACTCCTGCATGTCTCTTTAAGCTCTAGCCCAAGAATGGGGTGAGCAGGGCTCTGCCTGAGAGAGGGAGACAATAGGTGGTGGCTGTATGCTTCTGCTGAGGCTCCTGAAATGTCCCAGGTCAGGGCTCTTTTCCTGCGGCCCCAGGATCTTCATAGGGGATGAAAGGGAGTCTGAGTTCTGTGGAGTGTGATCTGGGCTGGGCAATTTGGGAGCAAGTGGACAGAATGGGGCAGGAGGCTACTTTTCAGAGGTGACCAAATCTGGCTTTGGAACCTCTTAATTTGGGCAAATAGTCTTCACTGATACATACCTAGTTGGGTGACAAGTAATGATTATTTTCCCTTGTTTTATTTCACAGGGTTAAGTCAATTCTCACATGGTACTTGGCCTTTTCATAGCACTTTTCACATGTGTGGTGGGTTTGGAAATGTATCTATTTTGCAACGGTGTTGTGAGATAATATATGTAAAGTACTTGAGCTTGCCCCAGAGGGGCTGTTTTTGTTATTGTGGTTGTCTGCCTACTTGTCAAAAATCTGTATTGCAGTGGTTCTCAACTTGTGGGTCGAGACCCCTTTGGGGGTAAAACGACCCTTTCACAGGGGTTGCCTAAGACCATCAGAAAACACATATATAATTACATATTGTTTTTGTGATTAATCACTATGCTTTAATTATGTTCAATTTGTAACAATGAAAATACATCCTGCATATCAGATATTTACATTATGATTCATAACAGTAGCAAAATTACAGTTATGAAGTAGCAACGAAAATAATTTTATGGTTGTGGGTCACCACAACATGAGGAACTGTATTAAAGGGTCGCAGCATTAGGAAGGCTGAGAGCCACTGCTCTATTGTAAGTTCTCGAGGAAGGGACTGTGTTCCTGTTGCTTAGTACAGTACCTAGGACATGGATAGGTACTCAACACTTTCTATGAAAGAGTGAATGAATTGAATAAAATGGGTTAAAGACAGCAAAGGTAGGGGATGAGTATGCTTTTCTTAACCATTTAAATGTCCTATATAATAAAAGGCTAATATGCAAATAGACCAAAGGGTGGAACAACCAAACGGTCGCTATGATGTGTGCTGACCACCAGGGGGAATATGATGGGCATTGGCCACAGCAGGATGGTGGAGCAGACCAAGACCAAGGGGCGCTAGACCAAGGGGGGGGCTTCAGTCACTGTCATCGGGGTGAGCCTTTGGTGGTTACTGAAAATTCTTTGCTCCCTCACGCGTGGTTCTGCATGGTGCTCACACCTGCTGCCGACGCCCCGCTGCTGGTGCCTGGCGTCAGTCCCGATCACTTGGTGCTATCCGCTGGTGTGAGCAGCAGCCCTGATCACCCCTGAGGGCTTCTCTACCTTGCTCCTGGGGAGCAATTGAGGCAGCAGCTGCCGCTTGCACCAGCTGATGGTGCTGGCCCCAGTCGCTCTGCGTGTGGGAATGGTGGCGGCGGCAGAAGTGGGGCTGCTGGCAGATGGACCGGGGCTGTGGAGGGAGGGGCCGGGAGTGGACGCAGATGGACCGAGACCCGCCCCTGTGCCTACAGCAGCCTTGCGACCCACAGTTCCTTTCAAGGTGCATGGATTCATGAACTGGGGCCCTAGTATATAAATAATAAACATATACTTGATTTTTTCAGTGACTAAATTCTTTATTTAAAATAGGCTAGATGTTTTTACTAGATTAAATAAAATACTCTACAAATGAGAATTTAAAATCCAACATACCAAACCCCAGTAATACCAGTCAGGGATTGTCCACTGATCCCCATTTAATAACATTTGAATGAAATAGCTTACAATTCTAAGAATATGTGCCTTTGCTTAGAGAAAGATATCTAAAGCAGTGTCACATTTTCTGGATACAACAGTGTCACACTAGTAAGAGACATCCTATAATGCCTAAGACAGCGAAGAAACAGTGACTTTCAAATGCAGAGAAGAATAGTATTTCTAAGTCACGGAGACAGTCGACACCTTTTATTTCAACAAGAGAATGAAAGCAAGAAGGGAACCTACACTATTTCTAGCCACTTGTATTTATTAATATGCGTTTGCTGCAGAAGGGTAAAACATGTTTTAGGAAAAAGATAGGCCATGGTACAAAGCTGGGGAGCTTATGCATACACAAAGTAGCTGATAGCTCAAAGCTCTCAGGGCTCTTGGAAATGCCACCCATTATGCATAACATCGGGCTGCTGGACCTTGTTTCCTGGCATCGATGTTTGTTCTGTGTCTGGGGTCACTGTGGTATCCAAGGTCGTTTCTCCTAAGGGTGTGGTCGTATCAGCAACGTAGGGCTCGTAACCATCAGCCAATCCAGGGGTCATCAGTGGGTCAGCGGCTGCTGGGGTAACCCTGGGGGATCCCTTGCTGTGCCCTGCAGGGCCCCTGGCCAGGCTGGGAATATCGCCCTTCGGGAGAGCAAGTAGCCCTCCAAGGGCACTAGGCATTGCTACCTCTGGAAGGAGAGCTGGGTTTTCTGGATTGGCTAGGTTGGCCTCTGGCACGGGGGAGCCTTGCCCAACTCCTTCTCCCTTCTCTGGGCCTTTGGTTGCAGCGACGGGGGAGTCAAATTCCAGAGTAAAGTCCCCACCCTTGCCTAGATTGGGAGGCATCCCTCCAAGGCTCGGCCTCATGCCTCCAAATCCTGGGAAAATGGCTCCATAGGCCATGGGGCCTCCTCTGCCTCCCTGGAAAAAAACCATTTACCAAAGACACCGTTATCACATATTATTACTATTCCATACTATTATACCTGGTCAGATTCACTGAGAAACCACAAAAAACGGGCAGGGATATAAAGTCCTTGAGAACAGGACACTTACTTATTTTGCCTCTATGGTATCTTTCAATGTTTCTAACCCACAGAAGGCACTCAATGTTGAAATGCAATTTTTCTTTCAGTGATAGCATATGGGTGTATTTATTAATTTGACAAGATGCTGATGATTTGTTAATTCAGTATGGTTCTGTTTTGCTTTGTGCTCTAACAGATGCAACATGAAATTTTCAAAGGAAAAAGTCAAATTGTGTGTCTATTAATTCACTTTTTAATGTTGTAATATGAGTGGATAATAACAGAATAAGACTATACTTGAATTAACTTATTAATGTCCTTTCAATTTTATAATAATAACATTTTAAACTTGATTACTTTTTTTCTTTTTGATCTCTCAGTTTTGAGGTCTAAATAATTTGTGAGCTGTTGAATTTGTTTTGAGGGGTTAAATGGTCAGAGAAGAAACAGGAACTTTGTGTGAACTGTAGGTATTGTTTTTGGTTGGAAGCATTTGCTCTTCATTAAAGTCTTTTCAAGAGAGATTTCTCCTCTCCTCATTGTCAAGAAATGGAGCAAAACCCTATGCTCAAGAAAGGCCATCTCTCAGAAATGTCTGTTTGGGAAATATGATGAAATCTTTGCACACTGCTTCAGGATCAAGCTTTGGTTTTGGAGCAGACCAATCTGAGTCACATGCTGTCTATTTGGCTGCATTCACAGCCAATGCCTCTTGCAGCCAGTCACCTGTGACTGTTCTCCCTGGATATTATTTTAAGAAGAGTTTGAAGATATTACTCACCGCCATTTCTTCTGAGCTCATGATGCCAAGTCTGGTAGGAGCATTCTGTTAAAAAAGAAACACTGCTGACCCCTATTGTAGCAACTCAGTACTAAATTAAAGGTCATTTAGTTTTTCCTTAAATCTCAATATTAATGCTGTGTCCAGAGGCAGAGTACAGTGGAGAGATGAGGATAATTGAAGAAATGTAGCCAATTTGGAAAATTCAGATAGCAAATTTACTTTTTCTTTAATGTGTTTTGTGCGTGTGTGTGTGTGTGTGTGTGTGTGTGTCCAGAATTATCCAGATAGAAAATGTGTCTCTTTGCCATTTCAGTTGCTAATTTAGGCGTTCAGAGAATATGGAATCCATTGTGTGAGGACAAGATTTTATAATTTTAGCTCTTAAGGTAATATTTTTACTTACTGAATTAATTTATTTAATATGTGTTTTTATTGATTTCAGAGAAGAAGAGAGAGGGAGAGATAGAAACATCAATGATGAGAGAGAATCATTGGTTGGTTGCCTCCTACTTGGGATTGAGCCTGCAATGAGGGCATGTGTCCTTGACCAGAATCGAACCTGGGATCCTTTAGTCTGCAGCCTCATGCTCTATCCACTTAGCACACCGGCTAGGGCATTAAAGTAACATTTAATTAAAAATTATACTTTTCATAAAATATAGACTTACCAATTGGTTTGCTCCATAGGACATGTAAAACATTCCTGGATAAAGCTAAATATAAATACAATAATAATCACACAATGCATTTTCCCAGGGAAAAACTTTGAAATAAAAGTGGTATTTAAAAAAACTTACTGAAGATGGTTTATTTTGGGCCAGCGGTCCCTGAGATATCAAGCGGGCTATTGAGAATATCTTTAAGTGGTAGAAAACAGGATAAGTGATTCAGATTTGCTACAACATGGGCAAACCTCCCATTACAGCAATTTCTAACACTTTTGTGAAACACATTTTCAGATGTATTCATCTGACAAAAAAGTATTTAATATTTAAGAAACAAAGGATCTCATACTTCATATTCATAACAAATGGAGCAATTTAAAATTTTTGCTCTTCTTTCTTAAATAAAGGATAGAAATATTTTTTTTTCAAGAAAGTCTCATTGAGATGTGTACTTACGGATGGACCATGTGGATCAGCAAAATCCATTCCTGGTAGCTGCATCATAGATAAACAGTAAAATTACTAAACTATCAAAATAGACAAACCGAACACACTTTTACTTATGAATACGATAAAACAATTTCAAAGAAGTTTCCCGATTTTTACTTTCATCAATCTCAGGGGCTACAGACTAAGAGACTGCAATTGCCTTTTACTGACACGACTCAAGTGCAAGGGTAGAGATGCAGATGTATTTATGTGACAACGGCGTATGTAATTAAGAAAACAAGAAACTCATACTTCATATTCATAATAAATGGGGCAATTTAAAATTTTTACTCTTCTTTCTTAAATAAAGGGTAGAGATAATTTTCCCAAGAAAGTCTCATTGAGATGTGTACTTACAGATGGACCTTGGGGATCAGCAAAATCCATTCCTGGTAGCTGCATCACAGATAAACAGTAAAATTACTAAACTACCAATTACTAAACAAACCGAACACACTCTTATTTACAAATATGATAAAACAATCTCAAATAAGTTTCCCGATTTTTACTTTCATCAATCTCAGGGGCTACAGACTAAGAGACTGCAATTGCCTTTTACTGACATGTCTCAAGTGCACAGCAGAGATGCAGATGTATTTATATGACAAGGACGTATTTCATATTTAAGAAAACAAAGGAACTTATACTTCATATTCATAATAAATGGGGCAATTTAAAATATTTACTCTTCTTTCTTAAAGGATAAAGATATTTTTCCCAAGAAAGTCTCACTGAGATGTGTACTTACGGATGGACCTTGTGGATCAGCAAAATCCATTCCTGGTAGCTGCATCACAGATAAACAGTAAGATTACTAAACTATCAAAATAGACAAACCGAACACACTCTTACTTATGAATATGATAAAACAATCTCAAAGAAGTGTCCAGATTTTTTACTTTCATTAGCTTGGGCCAACAGACCAAGAGACTGCAACTGCCTTTTACTGACACGACTCAAGTGCACGGGCAGAGGTGCAGCGTGTCTCTAGTGGGTTTGCCTTGTCTTGAACAGTAGAAAGCAATGAGTTTAGGAATTGGAGCATGCCAGGTTAGTTTGAATCCTGACTCTGCCACTTAAATTTTATGTTATGCTGGGAAAATTGTATAACCTCTGAAAGTCTGTCTTTTCCTTTTAAAAAAGATAGTAATATTGTTCTTTATAGGACTGTAATCAGGATGATATGGGGAATGTTAAATGCCTGCAGCATGTCAGTTACATGGTGCCTTCCTTTTCTGTCCATCACTCTTTCCTCTACATTACTGTGAGATACTTTCCCAGGGCTGTCTTCTCTACTACCAGGTATAGAAATAAGAATGCAACATACTATTTGCCACGCTGAGGGATCCATCACTCTTTTCCGTCCTTCCAACAGTGAAAAGGACCCCGATGATGGGAAGCCTGGACTTCTCTGGGCTTCCCTATTTTCGCTAAAAGCTTACATTTCTTCAACTAAGAAACCACATTTTAGAGGCACAGACTCTTTTAGAATCCATGCCCCACCCCTGGTGGCAAATGACAGAAGTGAATATTTGTGTTCTACTCTCAGATATGTCAACTGCTCAAAACCATATTTGTATCTTCATGCGTTATTCCCTGAAGCTCTGACTATTTAAATGTGTCTCAAATAGGGTCTCTTTCATTAAGTTAGTGGGTGACCCTGATCTAACTTCAGGGGAAGGATTTACCTCGGCCTTTGGTGGCTTCTCTGATGGTGCCACCTGCTGTTGAATCATTGGCCCCTCTGCCTGCTGCAAGGGTGGCTGTCCATGGTAAACCGGAGGCTGAGGTCCTCCCTTCTGGACTGTGTCCTGGATGGCGGCGATCACGCTGGGCTGGTGGAAAGGTTTCTGTCCCGGCTGCTGAGGCTGCAGGGATGGCTGCGATGGGAGAGGTGGGGGATGCACAGGCAAAGAATATTCATACTGCAGAGAAATTTGAAAGGAGTGTCAGGATGCGATGGCTCACTGAACTGTGGTGGCTAGAATTTCTAAAGCAAAAGAGCTGGGGAATTTTCTGCTTATGAAGGTAGGAAGCTATGTGAACTTCCTTGTAGAATGAGTCATTTCCTCCTCTAGGTTCTCACAGTGGCCCCTGTGCATCTCTATTTTACCCCTTTCTCCCTGGATTACAATTTTTTTGTTACCAATCTTTGTCCCCAGTCAACTGAGGGAGGATATGTCTTATTTATTTTTTTAGCCCCAGGACTTAACATAGCTCCTAACAAGTGCCTGACACATGACAGATGCTTAATATAGTTTTGAGTTAATGAAAGGAGAAAGAGTAATTAAACAAAACACCAATTAAATTTCTGCACTACCGAGTCCATTTTGGAAACAATAGAGAGGAGAAACAGTCACCATGAACATAACTGACTGTCCCACTAACTGTAGTTTGGTGGGCAATGCTACCTGTTGTGGGAAGCCATCTGGACTTATAAGTTCTTGTTAACACAACCATGTTTTGTTGATCTTTAAAAAATTATTTGTGGTAAATGGCTCCCTATTATTTTTAAATTGATTGCCAGCTCCTCAAAGTGACATGGATCTTACAACAACCATTGCCCATCTCTAAACTCTTAAAGCTTTTGTTTCTTATTTCTCCTTCATTACCTATGTTTCACAATTTAGCAGCTTGTAATATGTTGTCTTCTCTTATTTCCCAATCAGATCTGAAATTCCATAAACCTTGGAGTCATTCTTAAACATTTTCACTTTCACTCCCAATCTACAATTTGATTTATGTATTAGGCACCCAATGAATAATAGTTAAAGTTAACTGATATATTTATTGATTGCTGTAAGGTTCATGATGTTTTAACCAGGACTTTGGCATCAGTTTTAAATGTGCTTTTTAAAGAATTATTTGGGTAATCTTGATTAAAATGAGAATTGCCAAGGATTTAGCCTGTTTCCATTTTGAGGATAGTTTATTGTTATTGCTGATATTTTTAACATAGATCTCAAATTTGGGAGTCTATATCTTCCTATTTGAAATAAATGTTCAAATGGGTTGAAAATTTTGACCATTTTATTTTAAATATTCCAAAGTACTAAAACTAGTTTTGATGTATTTGGTGTCTGGATAATTACTATAGTGTGTTTGTTTATTACTCTGTGGGTATTATATGACAACTTAGAGAATGTAAGTAGAGGAAGATTTTAAGGCTTGGTGTTTCAAACAATTGATGTAACTAACTTACCTGTTGAGTTTCATGTTCCCTTGGTCTCATCCATGGGAAGGAGGAATGTGGTGGGAGGAGACCGTGCATCCACAAAGAATTAAGTGATTTCCCAAAGCCAAATCTTGAATACTAAAGTCATGGGGAGAAAAGATAGATAGAGAGAAATTTAATTCTATTTCAATATTGGTTTAAACTTGGTTTTCATTTTCCAAAAGATCCACAGAAAATGTAGAGATAGCAAAATTAAGAGTGAGATTACTTAACTTAACATGGATAGGCAAACACTCTCTTGCAACAGACTTATAGACATTCTAAGCCAGACTGCAGTATCCTCATATACTTGTCTTGGATTTAGCTTTGTAAGTACTCATAATAAAATTGATAATGCAATTGTTTTTTTTTTTTTTTTACTAAAGAAAATTCAGTACTGTTTTTATTTCCCCCTGCCAGCCCATCTTAGAATCTTATTGTGTTTTAGGTTATCTCAGTTATTCATTAGTTCTTCCAAAATTTAGGCTATCTCCTGTTCACAAATATATTCTATAAGTGACAATGTTGCTGCTAATATCACTACCATCACCATTAATATAGTCTTTGCAATAAGAAATATTTGAAAATAAGTTTACCTGAGAAAGCATGTTTAATCCCTGCAAGGTGCCCAATTGTCTCATTGTCTGTTAAGAAAAAAACGTGGGTTACTGTTTACCACACATGTTCCTTTTCTGTACGACACAACAGATTTGGAAACATATACCATTAATACAAAGTTTGGCGTGGGTCAATTTGAATAAAATAGAAGCAGACATTAATTATCGCTGAAAAATGGAAACGTTGAATGTGTTTTTTCACTGTTGTTATTATTGCTATTAGAGTATTTAGCTTGCTTTCTATTATTAGTAGAGAAAAAGCACCACTTAATTGAGGTCACAGCGAAATATGGAAAAATAGCTCATTCAATTGAAATATAAATGTAATTATCAGGACTTTCCTTCGCTGACTCTTTTACCATACTTTGCCTTTTTAAAATTCAACTTGAAGAGGAATTTGAAAAAAACAGACGAACAAAACAAAATAAGACCACCTCCATCTCCTTCCCAAACAAAAAAGCCCTAAAAATAAAAAATATAAAAGATGTTGGGAAAAATGGTATCTGGAGAGATTGTAAAAAAATACCAGCAAATCAATAGAAAGTCAATTTCAATGTATTAGGAAGAAGTTTAGAGTGCTTTGGTTGCATTTAAGCTAGAAAGTGAGAAAAAAATAACTCAGTGAAAGTAGCTTGCATGTGAAATGGGCATCCAGCCAATATAGGTACTTATTGCCCCCAGATTGTTATAATATGAAAAAATATTGAAAGGTTCTTGTGATACATTTATAATTTCATAAATATTCTTCTATTTGTAACTGTCAACATATTTTATTAATATGGTCAAACAGTACTATTTTGCTGGGATTTTCTAAGCAGAGTATATATTAGTTATGAGAAGTGCAGTGAGACTACTACCACGATTACACAGCAGGTACAATGTTAGTGTTATTTACAGGAGTTCTTATAAATAACTGAATTTTGTAAGGTAAATATTCTTCATCTGAACTTTATAATAGAAGATACTAGAAGGAGAAGGAACTAAATATAAACCATTTATGACTTCAGACCAATGTGTTTGAATTAGTATAGTAATTACATTAATGTAGTAAGAATGTTAACGTATATATAGTAGGTATTAAATAATGTATATATGGTGGGTATTAAAATATTGCTTTGATTCACATACAGATGATGTTATAAGGAGTAAAGCACCTGAGAATTGAAAATGAGGTAAAATTATAAAACAAGGCTCTCAGAGATGCCATAACCTTCTCCAGAACCACACAGGAGGACGGCCACTGCCGTCCCACACACTGGGAAGACCGGAAACAGCCCATCACCTTTCTCCCCTCCCAGGAACAAACAAACGTAAAAAGTAAACATCAGTGCTCTGACAATACATACCTCCAGGCTCAAACTAGCCATGCCTGGTGTCCCCGGCTGCCGAGGAAACACCTACATGGAAATAAGAATAATTTTGAATGTTCTTCAGTGAGAAACTTCCTTAACCACCGGAAATAGAAAGTACAGTCAAGAGGCCAACATTTAGTTTATTACCTAAATAACTTGAACTTTTGGGAAGAAAGAAGAATAATTTAAATTATTGGGGAATTAACATATTATTTTCAGAAATCATCTACCCTTTGTCTGCTTCATAGTGCTATGTTGCTTTAAAAGCAAAATTTGATTTGTTTGAAAGTGGTATAATCAGTACATTAAAGCAACAAAGAAAAATACTGTAAAAGTAACTTCTATTCTTAAGTGTTATCATATAGAAGAGCAAAGGGGAAAAACTCGAGGTCATTTTTCTTGTGTGTTTGACAAACCTACACGCTTCTGGTTGATGGAATGTGGCATGTGATCATGACTTTCAGCAAAACCCTGCCCAAACCCAACTTGCCTCCTATTCAAACAGCTTCAACAAGTCCTCCATCATCTTTAGTGAAAGATTACTTTTTGTATAAAGCAGTTGATCTGTGTTTATATTTGGGGGATCATATCAAAGGTATTTTTTCTTAAATAAAAAAGTTCTAGCTCTAAGTCATGAATTAAATAGTAATTACATGAATGTAAATAGACAGGGGATACATTTCCCATGTGGCAGTGAAAGGAGAAGAACATGTAATTTGGCAGGCAGTCTGCTGGTGATCCCAAACAATTGTCTTGCTCCTATGACAAAGTGGATCTGTTATAGGTGTGGAGTAGAATAGGTTCCAATAGTGTCAAGGTATTAGACTGATGATGGATTCTGACCTCACCATCAGTATCAGACAAAGGTGAATTAGAATGGCAGCTTCAATTTTTCTTTCATTTAAAATTCATGTTGAGTAATAGAATAGAAACTTTTTATTTGTAGAATTGAGGTTTGAGTCCTTGTAATCAGTTTTCATCCCCTTTCTCCAAAATGTTTAACTTTAAGAAACCCAAATAGCTAACCTTTTTTCTCAAGGAACTGAAATATTTTAAACTTCATCTAAGGCTGACTATGATGAGCTCCCCAGCCAAGAGACCATGCCATATTTACCTTTGTGTCTCAATGTCCAGCGCATTGCTGGGTACATGGCAGGTGTTTAGTTAACATTTGCCCAAAGCAGATAGCAGCTGAATAAAGTCCTCGTGAAAACAGAATCACATGCTATTGGCTATTGTTCAGTGCCCAAAAGAATTGTATTCTTATGAGATCACCTCAATATATGACAGAGTGGACCAGGTGTATGACTGTATCATACAATTAGCCCTATTGCCATGACATGTTTTGATTTAAGAAATTCAGCTCTTGATCACACAATATCTTCCCTATAAGGCAAATTTATGGTTTAATTACTAGCTTCAAATGGAATTACTAGTTGAGTTTTGTAGCCATAGTAACTTGGCTAATATTGTTCTTTTCAAAGTGAAGAAAATGGACTTCACTTTTTTGAAGAAATTTTCTTTCCATTTCAATTTCATAATAGTAGCAAGTAGCTGATAAGAAAATTGTGCCATGGCATTGTGGAGACAACAAGTTTCTTATCTTTGAATGAGTGAAGGGAGACTTAGACATTGTCTTTGGAATATTTTAAATATCTTTTTGAATAGAAAAAATCATTTATTTGACTTATTGCTTTTGGATGGTAAGGCTCATGTCTGAGCAGCTACGACTTTTGGCTCAGTAGGAATTATAACACTGGATTAATTCAAATGAGTCCATTCCTGGACTCTTAGCCCATGTCCTTCAGTGTTGTTTGGGGCCCAACAGTGTCTCTGCTGGGACGCACTCTAGAAGACTCGGACTTACCGGCACTGCAGAGCTCGTTCCCAGGAGGCACAAGACCAGGATCAGGTTCTTCATCTTGAAAAGTGGGATCTGAAACAGAGTTAGGTTGTAGAATTACATCAGATAAATTTTTATTCCAGAATGGTTAAAAGACAATACCTCAATGAGCTGAATCACTGATTTTCCAAAACAACCAGGTTGAAACAAAAACAAAAGCAACAACAAACTAAATGTTGCTGAACAACTGATTTGTATTTACTAGTTTTTGGAAAGAATTGACAAGCAATTAGAAAATATCCAAGAACTTTCTGTGTGTATGGAGCTATAACCTAAATGAACATGTAGGAACAACCTTCATGCATATTCTTTAACTGCTGTGTTTCATTTTGTAAAACATGAATTGGAAAATCCCTTCTGCTATGTGAAATTTTGGTCTATTCAGTATCGTCCATGGGAAATTATACTTTGTTTCCTTCCAGAGTAAATTTTGAATTCAATGAAAATGTAATACAGACAATAGTAATTCATAACAGACCTTTTTTTTGCAGATTTATAAGGCATATCATTCTATATTTAGGTTGCCCACATAACCCAAACTTACATTTTTAAAATAAGAATGAACTTAATAGTTCAATTTCTAAAAGTTTAGTGGAAAATATTTCTAAAAATTAAGTTTTCCTTTTTCTAAAATAAATTATCTCTTTAAAATGATTTTATAAGTTCAAAAGGCTCTTACCCTTACATGAACAAAAGTCTGTCTAGCCAAGAGATCTCTTCATCTTTTTATACTTTTATAAATTAGGCAATGTCACTAATAATCACAAATAGTAAAAAACAACAACAGCACACCAAAACACCTCATTGATGTCTTTTTTCTTTTTTATCCCCTCACTATAAAATGTTTATTAAATATAAGAGATACATTTAGATTTTATGCACCATAACCCAGCTTAGCACATTATTACAATTAGCAAATGTATTTTACCAAAATTCATTTTATGAGGTAGTACATTTATTTTTATTTATTTACTTATTTTTTTACATGTGGATTTTAAAATTTAATGTTGTTAAAATATCTATACTACCCAAAGTGATATACATATTAAATGCAGTTCTATCAAAATCCCACCCTAAAATTCTTTTTTTAAAAATTTTATTTTATTGTTTAAAGTATTACAAATAGTAGTACATATGTCTCCTTTTTTTCCCCATTGACCGCCCCCCCCCCCCCAAAACCCCCAGCCTCCTTTACTCCCTGGCACATGCAAGTCTTTTTTCTTTAGCTGGAAGGTTATTAGACATATCTTCTCTGAAACTTGCTAATAATTTACAATAAGTTATTATTCTAGTGACAAATGAAGATAAATCCTCTTATAATAGCTGCCTGCAGATAGGAAGAAAGATCTTACAGGAATCACAAGGAAATCATAAAATCACATTTTACCTTCAATGCTGGCCTGGTGATGCCAACCAAGATAGTTCTAAGAAAAGAAGATTAGTTTTTTTTGTTTTTTTCTGGACTGTGTGTGTCTGGGACTCGCTCTGTATCTCTCATCAGAGTAGACCTGAAATCTTTATTTAAAGTGTCAACCCACCAATCAAAGTGAAGCAAAATGGGGGAAAAAAAAACATACCAAACTCTAGCCCACACCTTTTTACTGCATGCAAGGACATTGGCCTGGTAGAGTCTCATTATTTTTAATTGTAACTCAACCCCTGTATTTATTCAGAGAACTTGATTGCAGGGAAGATAGTGAAGGAATAATGGACATAAACTCTAAAGATAATCATTTTGGTGAGCCAGGGGGGAAATGCATGTAAAATAGGTTCAAAATAAACCATTATCTGTTTTGTGCAGGGTTTTATCTGCAGATAAAATTGGAAACCTAGTGCCAACATTTTCAAGATTTCCACCCTCATGTTTGTTGTAGTAAAAGTAACTCCCCCCGATTCCCTCAACAAATACACAGTCTAGAAGGAAATACTAAAATAACTTCCTGGACTTGAAAGAGAGGATGAAAATATTAGGTAAATCATGTTATGATTCTTCCTCTTCCCCTCCCCCCCTATGAATTTCCTAGGTATTAGACTAGAGATAGCTAAGAATCACTTCAGGAAAACCTTTGGCGCATGTTCTTTGGTGGGAGAGGGGAATACATCAGAACATTCTCCATGACCCAATCAAGCCCACGGCACAACTCTCAGTTTGCTCTTTAGATAGACCCACGTTCAGGCACTGGTATTGCTTAAGAGGCTAACATCAACATGGATGGTTTCCCCCCACCCTGAGCAAATAGGAATGTCTTGGATGTGAATTGAACTTTAGCTGCTTTTGTTATTTCTCTTACCCTCCTTGTCTTTCCAAAGTGTGATTTCTGACGTGAGAAGAATAAGAATTTAAGGTTGGTTTCTTAAAAAGGGATGAGTCAGTACACTCTTTAGGGAAGTAGGGATCTTGTTAATTATAGAGAACTTGGAGGAAGCTGGCATTATGGGAGAAGTATGTCTTCATACCTAAGTGTAGGCCTAAAAGCTTCAAATAATGTTACCCAAGAAGCTGCTCCTGAAAAATTATTTCCCATTGATAGAATAATAATTTTTAGGATGCAAAGAAATAAGGAATGGGAATATGTTTCATAAACAGCAAAATGTTATTGAAATGAAAAGTATTATTTTTGACTTCTTTCTTTCTCTCTTTATTCCAGCTCTGGTATTTGATCAAGTTCCTTAATTTCTCTAATCCTGTTTCTTCTTCTTGTGATAGAAGAATAATCACTTAGCACACAGTTAGGCTTATTTTTTAAAAAATCTTTTTTCACAGTTTAATTACTATTATTATTATTATTATTATTATTATTTTAATTGATTTCAGAGAGGAAGGGAGAGATAGGAACATCAATGATGAGAGAGAATCATTGACTGGCTGCCTCCTGCACACTCCACATTGAGAATTGAGCCTGCAACCCAGGCATGTGCCCTTGGCTGGAATCGGACCTGGGACCCTTTAATCCACAGGCCGACGCTCTATCGTTGAGCCAAACCAGCTAGGGCCAGTTAAGCTTGTTTTGAGGATTTGGTGAGTTGGTGAAGATGCAGCATCTGTCATACAATGGGTGCTCAATAAATGGATGATTGTCTTTTTTGGTGGGAGAAACTACATGAAACATGGGACCATAAAGATAGTGTGTGTGTGTGTGTGTGTGTGTGTGTGTGTGTGTGTGTGTGTGTGATAGGATGAGGAGTACTGGCAGTTAGGTCCATGAGCTCCAAGGAGGGTAGAGCGGGACCTGATGGAAGGCATTTCCTCTGCATGGAAGTTGATACTAAACCCATGGAATTAAGCTTCCCAATGACTGCTAAACAGGAAATGGAGTTTGTGTATGTCTTTTATGGTTTACTAGTGACCCAGTGCATGGATTTGTGCACATTCAAAGGAAATTAATTAGAAGGTGTCTGGCAGGGCTGATATGCCCTGGAGCCAACCTTCCATGGTCCTGCCCTGGTGTCTGCAGAGTGAGCAGGGTCCCTCCAGCAGGTGGGGTCCCTCAGCGTGGCCTGCAGAGATTGGGCTGAAACAGGCTCTCCGACATGCCCCTGAGGAGTCCTGGAGTGTGAGAGGGCACTCTGCAAAGTTGGTTGTACAAGGTGTGGACTGCAAACACAAGTGTGCAGTAAATCAGATTTGGGGCTGACAGTGCCCCAGCAACAACATAACCCACATCTGAAGGTAGAATTGCGCAGCCCCATGAGGAATCAGGCTCCCTCCTCTCTGGTTTTCAGGGTGCATTACCCGAGAACCACCACTGCCAAGTCACCACAGCTCAGCAGCTCCTGTGTTGAGCATCTGCCCCCTCGTGGTCAGTGCACATCATAGCGACTGGTTGGATGGTTGGACACAGCATATTAGCTATATATATATATAGACTAGAGGCCTGGTGCATAGATTTGTGCACCAGTAGGGTCCCTCAGCCTGGCCTGTGGGGATTGGGCTGAATCCGTGCACTGGGTCTCTAAATTCCCCAAGGTGTCCCAGATTGCGAGAGGGTGCCACCCTCATCTATGTGGCCATGTTCAACCTCCCGCCAGCTCCTGGAGGCAGGTGGGCTTGCAGATGGAGGCTTCAGGGTTAAAGCAACCCTATCGGTGTAGCACAGACACACGTGGGCTTTTTGATGAGAGAGAACCCGTAACATCTCTTCACAAATGTGTTTTTAACTGTTCTGAGATCACACTCCCAGTCTTGGCGACTCTCAAATAGTCCTCAGCGATTCCACTCACCCAATGCAAAGACTGACCTGGGTTTCATGGAGACTGAACCCTCAACACCCAGAGCAGCCACGTCCTTTCAAGAGGAAGGTCACCTGGCTGCAGGTCCTTGCTCTTCGTCACTTTGAATATTTCTTGCCACGGCCTTCTCTACCCAGCAAAGGTCATTTAGAATTGAAGGCCAGATAAAGAGCTTCACAGACAAGAAAAAACTAAAGGAGTTCATCACCCCGATCGGGGGCAGAGTTGGCCGGCCAACCTCCTACATCCCCTCTCCGCAGCAGGCCCAGCCCAATTGGCCCCAATTGGGGCAGCTGGCTGGACCCCACCCATGCACGAATTCATGCACTGGGCCTCTAGTATAATATAAAACATTTTATATAGCATACAAATTAATCTCATATTTGATGTAATTTTTGACAGATATTAAAAATAGCTTAAAATGCATTCCATGTAAATACTTGATATTTTACAGTAATTTCTTACACGTATATTTATTGGAGTCAGATGGAGCTCATTTTCCACCCCTCATGCCTTTATTTGCATGAGGGGTGGACTACATTCCTGATAATTCTGACAGTAAGCAAAATTGGCATTGATTCTTTCAACAAGGAAATTTATGGCAAATTGTGTGTAATAGATACAATACTTTGTATGCTAAAATTGTGATTCATTTTATTTCCAGGATTATTATCATCTGCCAGTTGATGCCCGTTATAAACCCACTTCAGAAGAACTTTTGGAAGGATGACTTCAGCTCTTCACACAGTGACTCTACACACTGACATCAGCGTCACTTTTACAGCAGAGATGGTACT